ATCTCTGCCCACAGACATCTGAATTACTGATAATACCGGTACACGACACAAATTACGCATGGATGCCTTTACTATAATTTGAGAAGTATAAGAAAAAGCGTGTAAAGACAAGATTAGATTTTTTTCCCTTTCTTTTTACGGTAAATATATAAAAAACAATTAAGATTCATTACATCACAGCGATTAATTAGATAGGTGATGAAGAATTGTACTATATAAGAATGTCATATCCGGCAATCTAAAGGTACCGTTTCCCCAAAGTCTTATTTTCTATGGTGTATCACACATAATAATTTGGTTTCGTTGATAGAAAATTGCTGATAGAAGATCACGAGAATTTGTTGGCGCTTTATTTCGACCATATAATGGTGATGTTGTGATGATGAATTTTACTATATAAAAGTGTAATTTCAGGCCATCTAGAGATACTATTTCCTCAATAGAGTAAGTATGTAAAGTACATACTCAAAAACAATCTATGGTACATCACACATATTAAGATATCTATGGTTGCCAAAAATACCTGATAAAAGATCATGAGAAATTTGTTGGCACTTCATTTTGTGTATATATAATGGTGATGTGGTGATGATGAATTTTACTAAAAATGTCATTTTCTGGTCATCTAGAGGTACTGTTTCCTCAAATTTTCGCACCTCAGCCCCAACCATGGTGGGTCTGAGGTGGGTGTCGACTCACGAAATGTCCCCCCCCCAATCTCCACTTTTCAGAACAGATTACGCCCTTCCTGGATATGACATTAAACTCCATCGAGTTGACACCTGACTTAAAGTATGTCTCAGTGACTGCTGATGAGGCGAGAATGCATAAATTTGTTTTTTAGGATGTGATCTGGTTTTACATGCCCATTTTTCGTGGCTATGACTATTTTGGATAAAGAATGTTTTGAGAAGTGCTGGATACAAGGCCCCCGTAAATTTTTTGAATGGAATGGAATATAGGCCCCCTATCCAAATTTTAGTCTGAGAGTGTAATTTCCCTAACCATAAATTTTTTTCAATCTTCTGTTACATATTTACAGTATTGTATGAGAAAGATCAGAGGACCTAGCCTCCTTGGGAAAACTTCCATTTTACCTTATATCGAAAGGTTTTTCGAAGTCTACAAAAAATAGTGTTGTGATTTTTTGCCTGCTTTATTACGTCATGAATCAGTTGAATATTTTCCCCTCTGCTGCCCTTGAGGAATCCTGTTTGTCAAGATTAATTACTGATAGCAGAACAAATAGTAAATTTAAAAGCATTTAAAGTTGAATTTACAGAGTCACATTTCAAGGAATTTACCCGTAGATCAAGTCTTTGTAATATAAAATTAAATGTTAATGGAGATGACAAACCATCATTTTTCTACCAATTTTATCGTTCCACTTAACACTGACAATTAGGTTTGTATATAGTTCCACCGAAGTAAGAATCTCTACCATTCATCACATTTGCTGTTATAGCATTAAAACACTTTCTGCGTCAAGAGAACACGCAAGAACAGGGCCGGCGGAACGTTTTTCAAAGTGGGGGGGCCCACTTATAAACAGGCGCGTAACAGGGGTCTTGGGTCAGGGGGTGGCGGCAAAGGTAATAATTTTCCCGGTTAGTAATTTATGACTTGATGTGATACCCACCTCCCACCCCCACATAGAAAACAATACGACATAGGGCTTATTTTATTATTACACACGTGTGTTTGAAACTAAATATAAGCATTTTCATCGTGGTTTTATTTATTACAATCATAGGCCTATTCTTTCACCATCATTACACATTGAGGCCCTTCTTTTAGGTAAAACGATCTATCTTAAATTTCTTTCTCAAGTTTGTTACTATTATGTTTTTAAATAACTTAGAAGGCAAAGGAGGGCAAGCACTAGCCTTAACCCTAACAAATGCGCGCGAAACGCGCGAAAAATTGTTGTGTTGTTAATTCTAATTTCGTCGAAATGATCAAAACTCCCTAAATGTGCAATTTTTAGAGGAAATTGGCCTACCTCAACAAGAAATGCTCCTATGTTATATATGGCCACACTCGTTCTTTTAAACTGAATATAAGCATTTTCCTTATGGCTTTATTTATTACAAACATATTCTTTCAACATCATTACACATTGAGGCCCTTCTTTTAGGTAAAACGATCTATCTTAATTTTTCTTTCTTGAGTTCGGGACTATGTGTTATAACTTAGAAGGCAAAGGAGAGCAAGCACAAGCTTTAACATTAAAAAATGCGCACGAAGCGCGCGAAAATTTTTTGTTTTTTTAATTCTAATATCTTCGGAATTGATCAAAACTCCCTAAAATGTGCAATTTTTAGAGGAAATTGGCCTACCTCAACAAGAAATGCTCTTATGTTATATATGGCCACACTCGTTTTTTTTAAGTGAATATAAGCATTTTCCTTATGGATTTATTTATTACAAACATATTCTTTCAACATCATTACACATTGAGGCCCTTCTTTTAGGTAAAACGATCTATCTTAATTTTTCTTTCTTGAGTTTGGGACTATGTGTTATCATTTATAAGGCAAAGGAGAGCAAGCACAAGCTTTAACATTAAAAAATGCGCGCGTAGCGCGCGAAAAATGTTGTTTTCTAATTTCGTCGGAATTGATAAAAACTCCCTAAAATGTGCAATTTTTAGAGGAAATTGGCCTACCTCAACAAAATATTGGATTTAAAATTTGAGATTTTCAGGCACTTTCGCGGGTGAAAAGGGCATTTAATGGGGAAAGATTTTCCACAGATGGATATGTTCCCCTTGTTCCCCGGTGGTTACACCACTGCGGAGAATACCTGGCGGCTTAGATCAAATGCGATATGGACACTTTTTGAAGTGGAGAAGGGGTTGCAGGCCGGGGTATTGTGATATCTGTTCATTATATCTTCCTTTTTATTCTTGTCTTTATTTTTCTCTTCTCTTTTTCTTTTCCTTTCTTTTTCTTTCCTCTTCTTTCTCTTTCCCTCCCTCTCTCCTCTTTCTTTTCTCTTCTTACCCAGCCCGGTACGACGGCTTGGTCAGCCCGGTAAAAACCGTCGGGGGGGGGGGCAGTCTGCCCCCCCCCCTGGCCCCCGCCTTTTACGCCACTGCTTATAAGATGAATGGGAATATGAATCATGCAGATCTAGAATCAAAAATTAGGTGGTGGGGTCAACATTCCTCCCCCGGGAAAATTTTGATTTCTAGATGGCGGGAAATGACCTTTCTCGACTTTTGAGCTAGGTGTCTAATGACTTTGTTCTTCAAAATTCAAGGTTTTCCCCCTCATGAAAACGGTAAGGTAAAATTTCTCAGCAGCCATACAAAAAATCTCTAGACATTATATATTTTTCGCCAAAAATCCGCCGGCCATGTTGAAGTACCCGTCTTCTTCGTGACTAACCCAAATTAACGTTGAAATGGACAAAAAACCTGAAGCTTATCGGCAAGGCAAGGCTTGGTTAACTTTTGCCATCGATTTATTCAAAAGAAAGAATTGTCAATAACACCATTGTGATTTGAGTAATGCTTGATCGCACACCAATCAGTCTCACCACGCCTAATAATACGAAACGACTACAGCGGTAGTCATTATTTTTATGAATGGTATGCAGTGGCCATGATGTCGAAAGTATTTTTTATAGAAATTAAACACACATCAAGTATTGCATAAGGAATAACCTCCAGTTAAGGTACCGTCTTATATTTTAATGTTTTCTATGTAGTACCGTAGTAGTGTATAGCTCAAAATATCCCCTGAATGTTAATGTGTCACCTACATAAATGCCTCTATGTCTTTTGGTGTCAGTTACTTTTGGTGTGCCTTAAGGGTCGGTCTGGTACCAACCCTTTTTTATACCTATGTTAACGATCTCCTTGATGATCTGGTCAGTGGTGGTAAAATTGTTGGTTGCAGAGGATGGCATAATATGTACCGTAGAATCCGGACTCAAAGTGGTTAATTTATTGCAAGATGATATCGACAGATTGTTTTGGGCCTTGTGAATAAATTTATTAAAACGTGTATGATTATCTTGTGAAGGGATTCGGCCACGGAAGAGTAAGATCTCTATTTGGTATATCATTGATCTTTGCGTCTAAAACAAATATTTAAAAAACAAATAATGTATT